TCCAGATATTTTAGAAATGTCTGTGTAAAGTGCTCATTCCACCGCCGTGTGGATTGAGGTCTGCTGTTCTGCTGAAGAGTGAAAACAATCGCCGCATTGTTTCTCACTACCTGTAAAGCTGTTTAATTATGTTGTTATTTTCATATTTTGCCAAATTAATGTAAATGTTTGATGTTAAACTTTGATTCTGTAAAATAAATGACCACATTCATTTTGATGGGTCAAAGATAAATGACGTCTCACGTTACATTTCATTAAATTCAATGCACGTTTTATTCAGTCCAGAAAAATGAAGAATCCGTTTTAATTGATGAATATATCTCAGCATCTGTTCATCTACAAACCTAAACTCTATATTTTTATGTGTCATCATTCATCTGCTCTTTAGTCGTCAATTAACCTTAAGTTTTACTGCATTCAATTACTTTAATTTAGACAAAAAAAATATTAGTTTTATCTGCTTTTGTCAGTTAACAACAGAACTTTACTGGCATGAAGTTCTTAAATCCTACATTATTATGAATTTAAATAGCTCTATGTGGTGCATAAAGCCTTGAACGGCCATAAATCAGTTAAAGAAAGATGCGCTCGCTGCGTACGTTCTGATTTCTTCCCAGCTTTTCAAATGTTTCTGTGTAAATCTGTGCTAATCCTGTGAGGATGTGTGTCTGTTGCTCAGCCTGCATGACCTTCTCCGATTCCCTCTCCCCTCCTCTTCCTCCTTTGTGTACGTATTCTGGCAGGTCTCCTGCTTTTTTTGCCAGAACCAAAGAGTGGAGCCAAAAAATATCCTCCTCTGCATCGCTCCCTGTGGTTCTGTTCTCATCCGTCAGCCCTCTCTCTTCCTCCTCCTCCTCTTCCTAATTGACTTTATCTCCTTAAATTTACCTTAAAACCTCTACCATATTAACTTCCTTTTATTTCCTGTTTAACTTCGGTGTTTTTATAATCACAGTAACGCTTCTCATTTCGTCCATCACTTCCACGCCTGTCTGTCTTTCTGTTTGAGCAGTGCTGTCAGGCGCTGCTGATTGGAGAGACCGGTCCAGAGCTCTGTCAGCACTTACCAACACAATCCCGATCAGTGTTTGTGCATGATTTGCTCAAACGTAAATTATTTCCTTCATCCTATAATGAATGCACACAGAAACAGTAAGCATATACTGTATTTTCTGGCGTATAAGTCGTTCTGGAGTATAAGTCGCATCAGTCAAAAAAACGCATCATGAAGAGGAAAAAAACACGTCGCTTCAGCGTATACGTCGCATTTATTATGCGTCGCTGCTGACCCGTCATGTTTATTATGCCTTTATTTAATGGTCATAACAGCTTCATTTCGCTTGGGCGACACAGTGCCATCCATCCATCCATCCATCCACCCATCCATCCAGCTCTCCAGCGTTCCTCCGCCTGCACCAGCTGAGCGAAGTGAGTGCACAGATCTTACAAATTTAAAGCGTCAGTCAAAAATTGTATTATGAATATAGAAAACAAAAACATATTTAAGTCGCTTCCGCATAGAAGTCGCAGGATTGACAAATCTATGCAAAAAAACTGACATACACTGGAACATACAGTAAGTGTGTTTGGGTCTATTTAAGTGTATTTGCACATGTGAGAAGGTGAGTGTGTGGGCACTCAACAAGGAGCATCTTGTGTGCGCCTTTTAACTATGTGAGCTAGAAGTGTCCTCCCGCCCATGTGTGGATCAGTCTTCATTAAACCCCATCAAGCTGTGCGCTCACGTGTGTGAGCTTTTATTATCGTCACCGACTCTCTGTATGTGTGTGTGTGTGTGTTTTGGGTGAAATCCTCAGCCTCACTCCTCTCTATGCTAATTTCCCCTCCTTCCCGTCACTTCTGTCTCTGCTCTGCCCTGCCTAAGCTGTCCCTCCTGGGGTATCATTACCTTCTCCACCTAACCTCCCCCCACCCCTACCCTCTCATCAATGTATGAGTGTAATCAGAGCAGCCCTTTTCTTCATCCCTCCATCAAACGTGCCCTTTCAGACGTCACACCGCCCACAAACAAACACACAAAGATCTGAGCACATACGTTGCTTGCATCACGTGGAGAAGAGGTTGTGCAGCGATTATTAACAGTAACATGCTGACCTTTCTTCTGCTGGGGAACTAACAGGAGAGAGATCAACGCACCAACTGCAACCTCAATCAGAGGAGCCCATCAACATGTTGGAACAACATAAATACTTTTTTTCCACCTCTCTGAGCAGTTTTGAGTTCAGGCGTTTGCTCAAACTCAGGCCAGGTGAGGGTTGATGTCAGAGTGACCCCTGGTGGTAAAACTGACAACAACAGTTTCAACAAAAAAAACAAAAAAAAAAACATGCACCACAAACAGGTAATCAGCGAAGGTCAGAAGGTTATTTTTGAAGAAACGCTCACCCACATACTATATATAAAAGAAATGTAGTGGTTTGTTAAGGCTGATGCAGAGCCAAGAGAGGCGACCTCGTCCCACACATGTGATGGTGCGTCTAACGTGAGCCGAGGGACTTTAGTTTTCTTTTGCACATGTTCTTTTATATTGTGAGCAGTCGCGATTATGTCAGACGGATCGGGAAGTGGCTACGCTCTCTTTGACACTCAATTTCAACTCCATTAGACCTCGTTTCTGCCGGTGCGTGTGTGCGTGCGTTCCTGTCTGTTAACTCTGCTCTGTTTGCCTGCTCATCGTGTTGCCTGGACATTCGGCTCCGTGTGGGCAGCCAAGCAGAACGCAGCCACCCGGTCCTGATGCTAGGCAGAACAGCCACTGTATATGCACAGCAAAGTGTGGGTAAAGTCAGCATGGAAAGGGTCTAATTAAACATGATTTAGGACTGAGAAAGGTACATTCTCATGATGCTGGAAACAAGGTCAGCGAATGCGGAGCTAAAAGCAGGCAGGGTAAACATTTAAACAAACAAATCTGAAAGTAAGAGAAAGCAGTTATCAAGCAGTTCAATTTTTTGGGGGGAGGGAAAGGACTCAGAAGTGTAAACCTTGGAGGAATAAACCAACAAAGTGGTGATGATGAATCCCTTTCAGCGGTTCCCAACACTGGTCCCTGAGGAACACCATCCTGCATGTTTTAGTTGTTCCTCTGCAACACACCTGATTTGAATGAAAGGGTGATTAACAGGCTTCTGCCAAATTTAAGGAAGTAATTAACAACTGAATCAGGTGTGCAGAAGCAGAAAAACAACCAAAACATGCAGGATGGCGTTCCTCAAGGACCAGTGTTGGGAACCACTGCCTTAGATATGGTTGTGTTATGAGCCTGGATTCAAAAAGCTCTTTTTTAAAATATTATTTTTTTTTCATTGTGTAAAGAAATACTTCAGACGGCTATTCTTTGTAAAATTGACATAGAAAGATGAAAAAAGATGCACTAAATCAGCCTCGCCACATAAATCAAAACAAAAGCACGTATGGGGTGATAACAAAAGCAGAGATACGGCGGTGTCATCCGTCTAAAGGTGTGCATGCCTTCTTCTGAGAACATGAGTCATGACGTGTGACAGAGAAACGCCTCAGAGAGTATTTGCCTTTAAAGAAGAGTGGTGATAAACAGAAAGATCCTGTCAGCAGCCTGAGTCTAATACCTTTCTGACAAATATCCGACACTGACGACGCCAACCTGAGCACCGCTGATATGACACACAGACAGAGACGTGGATGCCAATAAGGACAGGAGGCAGAATATTTGAGGTGAGGGTGTATGTGCTGGAGTAAATGGCTGCTTAAAATGATCACATGGTAAAATGTTATAAACATTTGTCTAAAGAATTTTAATTAAATAGTTGTGCAGAGTTGTGTAGAGTATGTATACAATCTACATTTTAAGAAGTCATGTAGGAGAAAATCTTTCTTGAAGGACAAATCTCCTGCCACATGCCAAAGTTTTCAGCAAATATCCTACATGATCTGTTAGCACTCTGAGCATATGCTGGAGTTGACCCTCAGCTACTACCACTCCGAATTTAAGCTCAATATCTGTAAAATCCAATGAGTGATAGACATTTTTTTTGTTTGCCAGAATTAAATAGCTGTGGAAGCCATCTTGAATCAGGCTGACTTCAAACATTAATCAGATGTAGATGTACATCTAGTGATTGGATTCTGAGAGTTTCACTGAAATCCCTTTATTGATTCATGAAATATTTTGCTAACAGACAAATATAGACACACACACACACATAGAGGCAAATACAGGTTTAGTTTGTGTTTAATTTCTAAAACATAAGAACTAATTGAGAACTACCTAATAAAGAAAACACAGTACTGCTGTAGTTCTCATTTACGGTCGACTAAGTTTCCTCTTTTTTCACAAGTAAACAAGCAACAGTTGCTCTCACTCAGTCTGTTTGCAACACTATGTCTGAAGCAGCAATGTGTGACGAGGACAGCACACACGATGTGGAAACTAAAGCGTGTCCCTGATGAGCTTGGTCAAAAGGTCATCAAGTGACGTTAACTAACAGCAGCGAGGTCACTTTATTTATTATTGCGTGCTGCAGAGTTTGAAAGTATTCCAGTTTTTGCCTGTGAATGTTGGTGCGCCTGTAGTTTGAGCAAAATATCTTATGAAGCAATCTACAGATTTTAATGAAATACTCTTACAAAAAAAAAAAAATCAGATTAATACTGTTTATATATCATAAAACATAATGACTAAAAGTCTGTTCTTTTTAGATTAAACCATGAAGTCTGAATGCCACCATGAGGCCTAAAGGGACATTAAAGGCTGATCTCTGCCACTGACAGAGCACCATGCAGTTATTGGAACTAGAAAACAATCCCAACCTGGAAGTCAGTTTTTATTGTTCTGGGAACTTAAAGTTGTTTACACGCTGAACCCAAACTAATGACCCCTGAAAAATTGTTTAAAAACTGTTATTGACATAATTAAATGCTCAGACCCGTCCAACATGTGAGCACTCAGTCATTCACACTCTGTCCATTCCGAGCCGGCCTCACGGACCAGTTAAACTCACGTGGTGAAGGCGGGGTTGTACTTGGCTCCCAGGTAGTACGAGTAAAGGTTGAACATGCCAATCATGAAGGCCACAAACACCATGATGAAGATGACCATGAACTTGAAGATGTCTTTGACCGTGCGACCCAGGGAGATCTGCAGCGGGCCGAAGCTCTCGTTGGCCGGCAGGATGTAGGCGATGCGGGAGAAACTCAGCACCACGGCGATGGCGTACAAGCCCTCAGAGATGATCTGAGGGTCAGATGGGCGCCACTTGTTTCTGGCTGCAGGGGAATCAACACAAGTCATTGTTATATTTTCCCCTTTTTTACGTCTTCCACATTACACTTAGCAATTTGTGTAAAATCATTTGCATAGCTCCTATAACTGCAAAAAAAAGGCAAGTTAAATTAAGGCAAATGTTTACAATATGACTGTTTGGCTCAAAAGTCTGTACTTTTAACTCTTTTTGGATACAATACAATATATTGAGCAAGCATTTTCTAAATATATATTGCTAAGGATTATATATAAACTTTGGGAATAAAAGCTCAAGGGAGCACATAGAAATAATTCAAATTATGTGGGAATGAAAAACGGCATGTCAGTGTGTTATATTTATTGATAAGATATTTTAGAGACACGTGTAATTAGGGAAGGATTCTAAAGTGAAAATGAAACAGGAAAAAATGAAGGACATTAACGAAATTCCCCAGTTTCACAATTTTTACACATAAAAATATGTAATTCTTCGTTTTTCATGTGTCATAGCAGAGTACAACCACCAGGGGTCAGCACTGATGAGGGTTCCATGTTCAAGACCTCCAGGTTGACAACCTGCAGCCTGTGCAAGAGTTTGATTTTACATAAAAAATACAGATGAATGACTACATCCATGCTGTTCTGAACTAAACTCCACACTGATCTTTTATCACTCGTACTCTCTTGCCTTTCTGCTTTTACATAAAACAGACATAAATAATACAACACATGTCTTGATTAAGTACCATTGCTTACAGTCAGTCAAATTCTGGCTATTAACCCTATTGTCACCGTGTCATGTCAGATGACTGATAATTAAACAGGAAATTGTGTGCACAAAACCCCGCAAGCATCTTTTTTTTTATTTTTTATCTTCTAATCCCTGTTCTCACTTGCCAGTAATGTTTGGTAATCTAGGCAGTCATAAGCAGACAGGTCTGAGAGCGCCACGCAAGGAAATTAATTTGAGAGCCCCTTTCTATTGAGAGCTTACTTTCATGTCCTGTAGGCTAATAAGCTCATAATGTACATAATTTCTGTTTCCAAACTCTTACATTGGCACAGCTTTTCTACAAGTAATTCTCATGTTCTCAGTTCATGTTCCAGGCAATAACTTCAAGCCTGCCTCTGCATGTTATCGTCCAAAAATTTGACTTTTAACTAAACACAAACACTATTTTCACAATGAAAAAAAAAAGCCATCATTTTGACCAATCAGAGGTCCAGATGTGGGTAAAAAAAAAAACAAGTCAGAAAAGATCAGTCAGAGGCATGACAACACGTGCTGGTAGTGTTTATTGCATGTCAGACACACAAATAGGTTTATATGTCACTAGAAGTTCAGAGGTGCTGAAGCCTCCTCTATAACAGGGGTCTGCAACCTTTACCATTTTCATCATATCTCCTGTTAAATAAAATGTGTGAAGAGCCAGACAATTTACTTGATACTTTAAATTAGAGTACAACAAGTTTAAAGTGTGAGTAATAATTTTGTATAGGACTGTTTAATTACAGTAATTTATATTGCATTGTGCCATTAATTTTTAAGAGTTGGGGCCAAAAGAAAATAATTATCTGTACTTTTGTACATAAAGATTTGATAAAACTCCTTGTTATTCTGTACAAACCCATTTAAGTTTGTAAAAAGCAACTTATTTTAATCATTTCTGCAAAATGAGCACAAACTCAGGTGTAAAAATCTGGAAAGCAAAACTGCTAAAAGTACTTACTCCTATCTTCAGTTTAAACTTAAAAGTTACTCATGTTCGTGTCATTTTTGATCGACGTCCCAAGGAGCGTCTTGAGAGGGACTGATGAGCCACTTGTGGCTCCAGAGCCGCAGATCACAGACTCCTGACCTCTGAAGCTCAATAAATAACTATTAAAATTAATGAGTATGTGACACGTGCAGGACCAACCACGTTGCTTTTCTCTGACTCAAGTTAAATCGTTTTATTAAGTGGTCCTTTAATGTGTCCTCGAACACGTTTGCGTCTATAGATGCATGTTAATGCCTGGTATAAACAGAACTAACATTTTGGGTCTAGTGTAAGCTGATGGGTCATGACGTTTATATTTGTCTGATTTGAAGCTCGTTATCAGTGATGGATATGACACATTACCAAGGCCCCACAGAAAAGCTTTCAGATTGCATCGTATGGTGTCAAATTAGCTTTGAATGTGGAAAAAAAATGTTCGATTGATCAGAAATTTGACACGGTTACACAAACAGGCACCGTTTTTTGGTAAATGCCAGAAGAGATTGATTATTATCATGAAAAGTGACAACCACACCAGCTGAGAAAACAAAGAAAATCCCTTAATGTCTGCGTCCATCCCCCAAAACATTCAACAAATGTCCTAAACAAAAAGCTTCCATACTTTTGCTCCAAAGTAATACTGCTAACATTACTGTCATGGATAACTGCTTACCATAGGTGAAATAGGCCACTTCATCAGGCAGCGAGGCATTGCTGAGGTCTTCATCAGGTACGTGCAAGTCCACATACTGCTGGGCTTTGGACGCCTTGAGGAAAGCCATGAAGCGCGCCGTGAAGGACGCCACAAAGATGGACAGCATGCCGAAGTCCAGAACGTTCCAGAGGTGCATGATGTACTCCCTGGGGCCGTCGCTCCAGATCTCTTTACACTCAGACCAAATCATACCTGAAGGAGGAGGGACACGTGCACATACTGAAACGCACGCTTGAGCTGACAAATCTGATCAAATGAAATGCAGAAAAGCGAGAAAAGCTACATGATAATGAGAATCCGTTTTACTCCACAATCAGAGATGAGCCACTCGGAGCTCGGGTGGATACACGCAGTTAAAAGCCTAATTTCCTCCGTGAAACCACTCTGCCCTTCTCCAGATGCAACCGAAACCAGAGGAAAATTGCTCAGTGAAAAGCCAACCTGATCAGTATCCTCTCTCTGACAATCATTGCACCTCTGAATCATGGTAGAGGAATCACATTTCTGCAGGAGCTCAGCCACCAGTCACTGTACACACACGTTTCCTTTGACACAAACAGCTACTGCCAAACATTACCATGTACAGGGAAGGAATAACACCATTACACATAAGCAAATAAAATCAGAAGCATATGTGCCCCAACAAACTGTACACAAACCACATGTGTAATACTGTTAGGTTTGTATGAAGGAGGGTGGAGGAGGAGCAGATGGGAAGCAGCTGAGAGCTGACAGACATCGCCAAAAGCTATTTATCCTTTGAGTTTGTCTTTGTTTGTCATCCCTTTCTATCTGCACCTCATGCTTGTCTTTCATGACACACTTCACACTTTATATTTATATAAGTGTGTGTGTCTGTCTCCCTCAGCTATTTCTCTTTCTCTTTGGATACTATTTCCTCAGTGCTCCCATCTCCAACATGTAACTTCCCCTGCAGCTTATCATTAAATCTCTGAACGGTAACCGCTTCAACACGTCCAGATTGTTCTGTGGATCCTTGCTGGAGGTAACCTCTGTTTGATCTCTGCAAGATGAAAGTGTATAATTTGTTGTATTACCATAACCTTGACTTCTATCCACTCCGTGGGTACGGTGATGCATGAAAATTTAATTGTGCCTCGTGTAAAAGGTGGAGAAAAATGTGTGATGGCCCTTTGCAGAGCCTGTTCTCATTTACAGAGGATGTGATTTTGGAAAAGCTTGGTGATTCCCTTCACAACACTTTCTCCTTTTGCATGTATTTCTAGAGTACACATATTCCAAATATTTATATAATACAGTAGTCCCTCGCTACTCCACAGTTCGACTTACGCGGACTCGCTCTTTCGTGGTTTTTCAAAGTAAGATTGTACACGAGAAAAAAAAAATTGTGCACGGCACACGATTATCAACTTTAATATTACTCACATGATTGGGACAGATATTGCACAGTAAAAAGTAAAAAATATATAAATACTTTGGTCAGGCGCTGCCGTTTTGTTGTTTTCTCTCAATAAGTCTACACTGTAGCCCCACTCATAATGACTACATTTCCCAGAAGCCAACAGTGTCCAGCAGAACCGGACCTCCAAACTCATCTGTGAATCTGAGAGCTGATACAGTAGCTGTCTCATGAGGACTTCCAAGTGGGGAGGGCACCACCGTAGGTCTGGCGTTCTCTCTGGAGCTCACCAGGACCTTTTTAATCTGCAGATTTGGACTCAACCAGACCATCGTCTGGTCCCGTGCTGGCCATCCGAAAGTCCGGCTCCCTCCAAAATGCATTTTGGTTATCAAGGGCTGCACAGAACTGGACCAGAACAGGAGCGGAACCAACAGGGTAGGTCTGCCAGACCACAACCGAGCCGCTGTCTCTGCAGAGCTGGTGAGTAAAATTTTGCAGTACAGTACTGTGCAGTTAAAATTACCTAGGTTTAAGAGTTTAGAATATTGTGGGCTTCATCGCTGCATGGTGGGTCTGCAGAAATGGAACTGAGTCGGACCGGACCCGAGCGGAATCAAGCTGCTGCTGTTCTGCAAAGCTGGTGAGTAAAATTTAGTAGCTACATACATGTATGTTGTTAAAATGACAGATTTAAGAGTATAGAACATTCTAAGAGTGTGGGAAAGGATTCCTAAAGCCTTAAACTATATATAAATACTAAAATAAATATAACATCCCTACTTCACGTATTTTCCGGAACGTAATCGCCGCAATAAATGAGGGACAACTGTATATAAATGATATCAGAATGTTATTGATTTACAAAAAAACACTGTGTTTAGCTGATAGCATCATAAATATAACATACAAAATCGTGTTTTATTTAAAATATCTATATAAACCTTAAAATATTTTAAAATGTAGCATATGGGTTATAATAAATCGTGAACTCTTTCAAGGAACATCAAGGTTTTCCATTCTAAAGTTTTAAACATCTAAAATATTCTAGTCTAATCCATTTATATCCATTTTAATTGTACATAACTATAACAAGAGTACCTACATTATAAGCCCGTCAACAAACTATTAAACAGCAATCAAAGCAATGGCCTGACAAGCAAAACAGTGTATAAGATTTGACCTTTAGTTGTGATCTTGACTTCAGAGCTGGGGTGATGACAAATGTACCTGATGCTCCATGTGGTGAGGATGCATAAGTGTATGAAGTTTCTTTAAATTATCTTGAGCAGATCAGAAGTTATGGTCAGGAGAAGAGGAAGTGTACAAACGTACGAAGAGTATACCTTAATACGTCCGCCGTTCGACATACATTTAAATAAGCTAACGTGTGTTGTGTGAAGAAGTGACTCACCCAACACCCACTTCATGATCAGCATCTCAGTCCAAGAGAACTGGGTGGTTTTGACCCGGAACACCTGTCGAGGGTGGTCTGTGATGGTTTCATTCGGCAGGTTCTTGACCCCCTCAAAGCGATCTGAAGCGTTGATAACCAGCAGGCCGAGGAAGAGGGTGAAGGAGACGGCATGGGCCACAAACTTCATGAAGGGGCTTCGCAGGATCTGACCAAGCTGAAGGTAAAAATAATATTTCCTGTAAGATTTATGTAAAACTATAGAGTAAATTTACCATAACAAATGTCTGGGGTTTAACGATATTAGTAAATTAAATCAATCACACGTTCAGCTCATTTTTCTTCTTGGTATTTTACTAAAGCAGAGATATTTACAGCCAAACAGCACGTCTGTTTTTCTTTACACAGATAACTTCAGGTTACCGATGAGTTCCTGAGATTTTGGTCCTCAGAGGAGAAAACCTGAAAAGCTTCACTACACAATCATCTTAGCAGACAAACAACAGCTGCTGTAATCCAATCATTCATCTTCCATGGGACATAATGCCAAAATAACCCGATGCCAAACAATCAACAGTTAACAAAACAGCACCATATGGGGGGGGGGGGGGGGAACGTAATGCAAAAACAGAGCTGAACCTGCCACTAAAAAGACTGCACAATCACACACACACACTACTAACTACATGTAGGCATCAGAATCTTCAACGCTGGCCCATCTCTGAACCTGCTGTGTTCAATATTACCTCCCCACAGGACTCCTCTGATCGCTGTGTGCAGAGTAACATCAGATCCTGTAGCTCCGCACGTAAAACACACCGCTAAACCGAGCAGGAAAGGGTTTTTGGCCATTCTTAACCCTGCAAAGGTTCCTCTAAAGCTGTGGTCTACACCATTTATTTCAGCTCTGATTTACTGATCTAAACTCTCAGGTTTAATGAGATAGTCCAGGATTGAGCCTGTGGTTACTTACAGCCACAGGATTTTTTTTTTATCCCACTCTGTGACAAAAGCTGGTTTCCTTTAACAGAATGGTCTCTGTTGTCACGAGGCTTGTGCAGATGAGATAAAAGAAGTGTGCAGGGATACAGAGCACTCATGCTACAAAAGAACTGTAGTGAAGTCTTTTCAGCTGAGAGAGTCAACCCTGATGTGCTCCAGGGACAGGGAGAACATCTCCTCTGAGGATTTTATTGTCTAGACATAAAGTACCAGGAGCTCAAAGAGAAACACTGTCTTTAAAATAAAGCACGTTTTTTTTTAAACCGAGGTTTGAAGGTATTTATATTTTATTTGTCATCCCTTCCGCTCATATTTGAATACAACAACATGTACATATACTTGTTTTAATAAATGCAATGACTTTTGCTTTTTCTTTATCCATTAAGCACTTTTCATTTTTGTTTCTCAAAAAAGAAAATGTTGTGTTTGTTTGTGTTCTTTAAATAAAAATGATACAGTGCATTAACTATATGCTATTGCTATTTAATGAGAGGTTTGAGGAATTTGGGCATGCAAGAATGGGAACATATACAGTAACTTTCTGCATAAACACAGAGACACTCAACATTTATAAGTTTATGATTCAAGAACTGTATAATTATTTCAATTTAAATAAAAGTTATTTAACCTATTGATCCTTGCTGCATAATCATAATTACTCAATAATACACTTGGGTGTCTCATTTAATTATTATCAGGACAGCAACTGACATGAAAAAGTTAAAAGTTTTTAGCTTATGTGCTTCATCATCAATTTAATGAACACCTCCAAATTTAGCAAGTTGAAAATGTGTTTACAAAAATTGTTTTCTGTTTAAACACACTGTTTTGTAAAATAACTGTAAAAGAGAGAGGAAGTCATGGATCGTTTCCAAATGAAACAAGAACAAGTTTGAAAAATATGGTATAATCCAATGGTTCCCAACCCTGCTCCTTGAGGAACGCCATCCTGCATGTTTTAGTTGTTTCTCTTCTCCAACACACCTGATTCAGTGGTTTAAATACTTCCTTAAGTTCAACAGAAGGCTGTTAGTCAACCTTTCATTCATATCAGGTGTGTTGGGGGCAGAGGAACAATTAAAACATGCAGGATGTGTTAGGAGTGCGCGGGGAACCCAGATGGTATGAGACCCAGAAAGAGGCAGACACAAGGGGAATACAAAATAACAGTGTTTATTATTTACA